TGAATCGTTACACACCAGCACCCACTCAACAAACTCTGTGAAAGATCCCCAAAGACCCACACCGGGCAGGCGAGCCTTTGTGTGCTCGTTGAAGCTTGCCAAATAAAAAGTGCACAGGGAGCAATCTGCATGGTCAGTGAGGCTTGCCAGATAGAGAAATCCACTTGTGTGGGCCTCGAGGCTTTTCTGCTCCTGCTCCAGACAAAGCAGCAGCACAGCAGGTGAGTCCATGCTGTTTCGGTGTTGGACTGTCCTTCTGTTATGGAACGGTTGTCTAAAGAAATCACACGATGAAACAGAATGTAAAGGAACAGGCTTTAATAATAATTTCTATAGTAACACAACCAAACACTATTTCAAATGAGAATGAACAGAGGATAAGGGAGAACTCAGGGTTTTTATACATAGGGTAAACAAAGGGAACTAATAAGATAACTGAATGACAGGTGAACTGAATGACTAATTAGACAGACACAGAAACTAGGTCACAGGAAAACTAGGGCAAAACCAAAACATACATGATCAAATAATAATTTTCTTTATTTAAAAGGTACAATTGTATTATTACAATAGTAATATATCTATCTTATTATTTAAAATAATAATATAAAACAATTATTTACTATTACTCAACTTCATTGGGTACCAAACAGATGAATATAATGACAACAGACAAACAGTTTTTGAATATAAAAACAACAGTTTGAATATAATGTCAACTGGGCTACTAAAAAGAGATGTGAACTGAAAAACATGCAAATGTGTTGTTTGATGATTGAAATATTATCTTAAAATATCAGAGGGTACTTGAAGTACATAAATATTCACTATGCAAATGAGTTCCAGAAGGCAACACTGTGGCTACTTCTAAAAACCAGTCTACTTCAAAAGCCAGTCGTGTTGCTGGAATGCAAAGGTTCCAGATTCCTCAGCGGTAAGGGATAAACACATACCACGGGGAGACATACCTTGGTTTTGCTTTTCCAACTTGATGAGGAAGGAGATATTAACAGACAAACTATGTTCTGGTTTCTGACCTGACGAGAAAATCTTGCATGTTGCACTCTAGTTACAAAGTATTCTTACAGCTTCTTAAACAGTGCAGCCTAGTCTGCAAAAGACCCCTGCCTCTGCAGATATTGCCTGACCCACACGGCTCCACATTAACACAGCCAGTCTGCAAAAGACCCTGTGATGACTGATCTGACCCAGTTGCACAGTCCATAATCTAAGGACTCTCTTGGCGCAACAGTTCAGCATTCAATAGCATAGCATGGCGACAACTACTGAAATGTTATTCTTCATCTTTCTCACTCCATGAAATCCACATTACCAGTGAACCACATTATAAATTTTATTAGTCACGTGATTAATCCGCACAGTACTGAAATCTCAGTACATACTGGATAGGTTGGGTGATGAAAATAACTTTGTGCATCCTCAGATAAGAGGCTTACAGACACACATAGGAGGTTGAAGAAGGCTTTCCAGATTTTGTAAAATAGTTGCTGGAGGATGATTTTGACATGTGGAGGTGTATGGCCAGTAATGAGAAGGTGATCCAGATGTCTTTGATGTAAATCATGACAAAGCAGTGAAGGTAAATATGGAAGACGTTTTTAGGGGAAATAAAGTGTCCAAAGGGATAAAAGTGTCCAAAATAACAAGGGGGGCTGGTGTCCTTACTGTAAAAGGGAAAATCGTGATGGCAGCGAATGTTGAGGGAGTTAGGCCCAGGTAAAGGGAGGGCATGAGGGTTTTAGCAAATTAGCAAAACGACAATAAGCACTAATTGTCATTCTGCCAATAAGCAGCAAAAATTATCTCTCAGGAAAAGCCTTTAAAGCTTTAAACACAGAAGTAGAACTAAAATCCCAGCAAACTGCAAAGACAAAAGTAAGTAAACTGAAGACCAAAAAGGAACTTGACACAGCTGCTAACACACAACCACAATGATGGAGGTGATGATGATGACAGCAAAGTCACTCTTCACATGCTCTAGAGTCTAGATGGACCGGCATATAGGGCTTACTACACCAACATAAACTTTGTGTAAACTTTGGTGCAGAGTCTCCGCCTGTGGCAAATCAATATTTTGGCCAATACTGTATATGTTAATTTCATAGTGTATTCATAATAAAGTATCATGAACATCTGAGAATTATAGAAACAGATAACACTGAATAATATAGAAAAAAACTGTGGCAGATGTTTGTCGTTTAAAGTCTGTGAATTTATAGGAAACACTCTGTTTCTATGCTTCCTATTTTGTTTTTAAATCATACCAAATTTCCCTTTACTTATGTGCCTTCTTTCTTACATCATTTGTGTAAGTAGCAACAGTTGATTTTGCATCCAGTTTGCCTTCCTTTGTCCTTTCTTTGGTGGTTATGTATTATCAATGTATGTATTATGTATTATGTCTGATCATCAAAGCGTCATTCAGAAATGTGAAAAGATTAAGAATCATCCCTGTATGCCAGTATTTGATATTTTAAGACTGAAGCTTTACTTCTGCCTTCCACAATCTTCATATCTGTAAATACTGCCCTAGAGAGTCATGTGAGCTGATAATATCTCCTCCCCCAATAACTCGGTAGGGGAGGGAGGGCAACCAAATCATGGAATGACCCGTGAGGTTATCTGAGGAATTTGAGAGGTCCTATGAGCTATGAAGACACATTTTTTGTTTTATCCAGCTGTATTTACTCAGTGTAACTTATAACATCCAAGTAAGAGATATAACACCAACATGTCAGAAAAAAAGAATAGAGTTGGAAAAAGGATCACCCCCTTGTGTCAGTATTTTGTTGAATCACCTTTTGCTGTAATTACAGCCTTTAGTCTGTTGGGATTTGTCTCTACTACCTTTGCACATCTAGACTTTGCAATATTTGCTCACTCTTCTTTGCGGAACTGCTCAAGTTCAGTTAAATTTGATGGTGACTGTTTGTAGACTGCAGTCTTCAAATCACTGCACAGATTTTCAATGGGGTTTAAGTCTGGGCTCTGACTCGGCCATGCAAGGACATTCACCTTTTTCTGTGTGCTTTGGGTCAGTGTCATGTTCGAAGTTAAACTTTCTTCCCATTGACAACTTTCTTATTGATGGTATTTTGCCCCATCCATGTTTCCTTCTATTCTGACAAGTGCTCCAGTCCCTGCTGCAGAGAAACAACCCATAACAGGACATCACCACCTTCATGATTTACTGGAGGAATGCTGTTATTTGGATGCTGAGCTGTACTGGATTTCCGCCAGACATATCTTTTGATGTTGAGGCCAAATAATTCAGTTTTAGTCTAATCTGAATCTTCAAGGTGTGTTTTGGCAAAGCTCAGTCTGATGCATGTGGCCTTTCTTGAG